TCCTATTTACTCACCTGTCTCTGTTTTCAACTCTTAGATGCCTCTTTTTTTTATCCTTGAGTTTAGTCAAGAGCTTCTTATTCATCAATGCAGGCCTCATGCTGCCTTTGCTTGAATTCTTACTCCTCAGACTGGACTACTGTTGAGTTTGAAGGAGGTGATGTTTTAAAATGAACCAGGTTTCCTGGACTCCAGTTCTCTCCAAATCCTTATAACTTGAGATTTTTCAAATCAGATCTCTGAAGAGATCAAAGTGTCCTGTATAAAAAGCTGAAGTAGGATTATTTTTTTCTGCATTTCAAAAATTCCAAATTATTAAAATTATTTACTATTCAAAATTCCAAATAATTTTTTTTTGGTCTTTAATATTGTGTGGTTTTCATTGGGTTCTTTTTTTCTCTGCAATGTGAAAATTCAGGGTTTTTTTCTCTATTTTGCTATGAAAGACATTTAAAATAATGCCATGTCTGTCTCTCTGAACGAAAACAATGAAGTCCTGTCCAGTTCTATTTGTTTGGAAAGCAGGCCAATAGGAAAATTGCTACTTCCTCCAGCAGTACAGTAAGCACTAAGGAAATTTAGACTCATACATCAGACAACAAATGACTTTTCATTGGTTAGAGCAGTGTTAAGCACTGCTCTCTTCTAAGGAAAAAAGTCCCTTTGATTGCTTGCAGCTTTCAAAGAAAAGTATAGTGATATGTCATCTGAGTACCAAATTATTTCTGTGCATGTCTTAATTTCACTTGTCTCTCATTTACAGTCATTGTGGTACTGTATGTAGCACTACGGAGGCAGAAGAAAAAAGACACCCTGATGACCTCTAAAGAAGACATCAGAGATAATGTTATCCATTATGATGATGAAGGAGGTGGAGAAGAGGACACCCAGGCTTTTGACATAGGTGCCCTGAGGAATCCTAAAGTGATTGAAGATAACAAAATCCGCAGGGACATAAAACCAGACACTTTGCGTTTTCCACGCCACAGACCACCAGCAGAAGATAACACAGACATAAGAGATTTCATTAATCAAAGGCTGCAGGAAAATGATGTAGATCCATCTGCACCCCCTTATGACTCCTTGGCAACCTATGCTTACGAAGGAAATGGATCTGTTGCAGAGTCTCTCAGCTCTATAGACTCCCTTACTACAGAGGCAGACCAGGATTATGACTATCTGAGTGACTGGGGACCTCGCTTTAAGATCTTGGCTGACATGTTTGGAGAAGAAGAAAGCTATAAGCCTGACAAAGTCACTTAAGTACAGCTACAACAGTGAAATAAAAAGAAAAGTAAACCAACAACAGATTTGAAAGATAAACCTAAGCTTTATATAGGACATGATTCCTTTGATTATAAAAGACAGCAATTGTTTCCAGCAAGTTACTACATTTATCATACTGTCAGTTTTGGTTTGATCTGCAAAGGAAAGATAAATCCTGTAACATACACAGGTTTTTGTTGTTGTTATTTTGTTACTCTGGAATTACACTGAGACAAGCTCAGGCCTACAAGGTGCAGTTTACTGACCTGACTTAGAAAGAAGATAGCTTTCTGGCATCACGGTGGAAGAGTGGTAGCTTTTTCGTAATTCCACTAAAGTGCCTATTGAAACTTTTATCATTTAAGTGGTAGAGTCTGCTGTGATGGTGTTACAAAACTGAATGGTAAATCGGACACAAACTAAGTCAAGAAGCAATAGCAACATGCTGACTTCTTTTAGAACAAAGATGGAGATCAGTTCCTGGAGTGTATCTAATGACTAGAACTAAGGGGGAGGGGGTGTGTGTACATTGTGTTTGGGGGTTTTGTTTGTTGGCTTTTTTTAAAGAAAACAGTATGTCAAGACATCATATTTCTTCTTCCAAAATTTCACTGAAAATTTAAAATTCTATTTCTCACTCTGAAGATGTAAATTCCAAATTAAAAAAGACCTTAGCATACATCAACGAATACTTAAAATGTTCATGCAAATATTGCATTTTTCCAAAATAATAAAAAGATGAAAGCAGCTACTCCTTTATGTGAAGGAAATTTCCCTTGGCTCCCCCTCTTCTTTTGAAATGAGATAATTCTTAAAAGGTAAAAGTGGAGAGGGTTTTTAAAGACTATTATTGTATTTTTAGTACTAAGACACCTTTTCCCTTGTTAGTATCACTAAATAAGTACATATAAAGAACTCCAAATCACTTTTCTTTGCAATTAGTTTGCAACTCTGTAGGCACCATAGGCATACATACTATACTTATTTTTCCACTGACTATCTGCTGCAGTTCAGCATATCACTGTATTTGACTGCCACAGCTACAGAACACATTTTAGAAAGCCTTTTGAGGTTCAACACTTTATTCATTTTGTTCTCGACAAAATTTGGACAGAGGCAGAATAAAAATATAAAACTGCATGTTTGTCCACTCTTTGTGTACATACCCATGCATAAATGTAGCTGTGCAGGTGGTGACTGAAGTTCAGATATGCACAAGGCATTATGCCTTGGAAGATCTCTTGCAAAACTATTCATGTGATTTTTTCTGATGATCTAAGGCATAGACATTTTGTAAGACAATGGTTTATTGCCCCCAAAGTGCATATATCCTTATATTCTCCTTCTAAAGTATCTGCAGTGCTATCCAATCTGCTTGAGCACTACTCATGATTAATGGCACTGCCAAGGTCAGCCTGAGTCTTTCATGAATCAGAAGTCTTTTATTCACCTCAGGTCTAGAGCTTACTTTTTGTATTGCCAAAGCATTAATAACTACCAGATATACACAGTTCACAAGTCTGATATTAACATACACAAATTTCCTTTAATCTTTTGGAGAAATGGAAAGATATTCCAGTGTTGTATAAATTAATCTCCCAATGAGACTTTGAAAGGTGTATAGTTTAAATAAGTTTTGGATCATTTTGTACAATTGGACAGGGCTGCATTAAAAGCCTGATTGGCATAGCTTTTGCAGGCAGAGTGCTGAAGAAGAGACGCAGCATATGGCAACTAGAAAGGTTTGTGTTTTTTAATATTATCAGCAAAGATGTGTTCCCTGAAAGACAGATTAAACCAATAAAAGCTCTCTCCTCACAGGACAGGGAAGCAGATGAAGTGATGGGGCCCATTTCCCAGCAAAGAAATTTTCTTGTGGAAGATGTTTAAAATGTTTGTACATCTTGACAGTGTATCAAATGCAACCTGATATTGCATAGTGGGCCTAAAACAGAGCCCTTGGT